CATGAACTTATATTATCTTATTTTGGTATTTTGTCATTAAGTTATGTTCTGCTTATAAATGTCTTATGTCATGATGTTATTTTGTGTATGTAGCATGTTAAATTGCCTTATAAAAACAAGCCAATGAATCTAATGAAGTTGTTATTTTGATTATGAGTTATGATAAATTTATGTTACTTTGTTCAATCCACCAGTTATGTTCATTACAATTAACTTGAAACTAGTACAAGGTTAACAAAAAACAACATCTCATTTCATTTCAAACTAACAAATACAAGCATTTGATTACAACTATCCAACAACCATCAACATTAATCCTAAGTTGACAACAACAACTTAAGTCCAAGTTTACACCAATTGAAAACACTACTTCATTACAGTTAATAATACTAATTCTATTGCCAAAACAAATGTTATTGAAACATAGAATTTCATCATTAAGTTTATTGAATTCAACTTTGTCTTCACTTCAGCTACTTTGATATTAACTTCATCCACTTTTGCCTTTCTTGATCCAGCTTTTTTTGTAGTGAAGTGATAATCTCCTTAGCTCTTAAAGACATTTCATCATCATACCAAATAAAATGGCTACACCTTTTATAACCATGTACTTGTAAGTAAAACAACACAGATGAATGAATCTACACCCAAACATAGAAGACCCACAACCAAAAAAACCTGTAAATAAGACATGGACATTACCTTATACATCCCACACCCAAAAAAACGTCGATCTGGGTTGGAATCGGTCCATGAAGTCATCAACAGATCTTCAAGCCCACACCTGCACTTGCTTCGAAAATGACATGAATGCGTAACTTCGACACTACTAACTTTCGTGCATTGAGACATCTTCAGCACGCGATAGTGCAAAACAAAAAGGGAAGAAGAAGTATGGAAGACTGAAACGTAAGTGAAGGAGGAAGAAGTGTGAAATATTTGCAACGAAGAAAAAGTATGGAAGATTTGCAACGAAGAAGAAGGACATGACACAAATTTATAACTTAATCTTAATCTTATTGTATTCAATATAATTATATAAATTATTTATGAAAAAAAATTATATAAAATAAATAATTATATTTTTAAATGATGTGGCAAGTGAGTGGATTCATATTAGGATACCATGTCATTAAAATATGAGATGAATGATTACGGATCAACAAAAATTCACCAAAAATAAAATAGCAGACCTAACCGTTGATTTTTTTAGAGGGAGACTATAATTACTAAAATCTAGAATATAATTACTAAAATCTTGGTATATAAATACATGTATTTTTGAAATATGTAACATGTATTTTATATAATTTAAGTTGTATTGATTGAAATCATTAGTAAAAATATTCTCTATTACTGAGAAATGGAGAGAATCTTTTCCATGTGTATGAAGTTTTGTATAAAGAAATCTAATTTATTTTAATGGAAATATAGGTGATGGATAAGATAAATAATGTTCCCAAATTTAGATGGTCGTTGACATGTCCTCTCTCAACCAACAACTGCTACTCCTCCCTTATCCTTCTTCCCTCACTCCCAACAAACACCTTCCTCCACCCTCCGCCGCCACAGAACCCCGTTCTCCTTCCGCATGGATCGACCAACTCCGCTCACAAGCCCAATCCGCCTCCTCCTTCCACCAAGCCATCTCCACATACGCCAACATGCTCACCGCTGGTGTACCCCCAGACAATTTCGCATTCCCCGCCGTCCTAAAAGCCACCGCCGGCATCCAAGACCTTAACCTCGGCAAACAAATCCACGCCCATGTCTTCAAATTCGGTCAAGCCCTCCCTTCATCAGTAGCCGCTGTCCCCAACTCCCTTGTCAACATGTATGGTAAATGCGGTGACATCCACGCCGCACGCCGCGTGTTTGACGAAATCTCCAACCGAGATGATGTTTCATGGAACTCCATGATCGCTGCTGCGTGTCGGTTCCAGGACTGGGAGCTATCACTTCACCTCTTCCGGTTAATGTTGTTGGAGAATGTGGTACCCACGTCGTTTACGCTAGTCAGTGTAGCTCATGCCTGTTCCAATCTGCTTAACGGGTTGTTACTTGGGAAGCAAGTTCACGCTTTTATGTTGAGGAATGGTGATTGGAGAACTTTCACTAACAATGCTTTGGTAACAATGTATGCTAAATTAGGTAGAATTCATGAGGCAAAGGCTTTGTTTGATGTTTTTGATGACAAAGATTTGGTATCTTGGAACACTATTATTAGTTCACTTTCTCAGAATGATAGATTTGAGGAAGCATTGTTGTATTTACATGCTATGCTTCAAAGGGGAATTTGGCCTGATGGGGTTACTTTAGCAAGTGCTTTGCCTGCATGTTCTCATTTAGAGATGTTGAGTTGGGGAAAAGAGATACATTCCTTTGTATTGAAGAACAATGATTTGATTGAGAATTCTTTTGTTGGCACTGCTTTGGTTGACATGTATTGTAATTGCAAGCAAGCTGAAAAGGGTAGGTTGGTTTTTGAAGGGATTGTTAGGAGGACGGTTGCAGTTTGGAATGCCATGATTTCTGGTTATGCACGCAATGAGTTTGATTATGAGGCTATTCAACTATTTGTTGAGATGGTTTTTGAGTTGGGTTTGAGTCCGAATTCCGTGACTTTATCGAGTGTTTTGCCGGCTTGTGTAAGGTGCGAAGAATTCTTGGACAAAGAAGGGATCCATGGTTGTGTAGTGAAATGGGGTTTTGAGAAGGATAAGTATGTTCAAAATGCACTAATGGACATGTATTCAAGAATTGGAAGGATAGAGATTTCAAGGAGTATATTTGGAAGCATGAAAATGAGAGATATAGTGTCATGGAATACAATGATTACTGGTTATGTTGTTTGCGGGCACCACGGTGATGCACTTAATCTTCTGCATGACATGCAGAGAGGTCAAGAAGAACATAGGATTAACACATTTGATGATTATGAAGAAAATGAAAGTGTTCCCCTTAAGCCGAATTCAGTGACTCTAATGACTGTGCTTCCTGGCTGTGCTGCCTTGGCTGCACTTGGGAAAGGGAAAGAAATCCATGCATATGCTATTAAACAAAAGCTGTCAAGGGATGTAGCTGTTGGAAGTGCACTAGTTGACATGTACGCAAAATGTGGTTGCTTGAATTTATCTAGGATAGTATTTGAGCAAATGTCTGTAAGAAATGCTATTACTTGGAATGTTCTTATCATGGCTTATGGGATGCATGGGAAAGGGGAAGAAGCTTTGGAGTTTTTTAGAAGAATGATTGCAGAAGGAGACAATAATGGGGAAATAAGGCCTAATGAAGTGACCTATATTGCTATTTTTGCTTCTCTTAGTCACTCTGGAATGGTGGATGAAGGCCTTAATTTATTCCATACAATGAAAGCTAAACATGGGATTCAACCTACATCTGACCATTATGCATGTCTTGTAGACTTGCTTGGCCGGTCAGGCCGGATCGAAGAGGCATATAAGCTGATCATGACAATGCCATTCAATATGAACAAAGTAGATGCATGGAGTAGCTTGCTTGGTGGCTGCAAGATCCACCAGAATTTAGAAATTGGCGAAATTGCAGCAAAGCAACTATTTGTGTTGGAGCCAAACGTGGCTAGCCACTATGTTCTATTGTCTAACATTTACTCTTCAGCTGGAATTTGGGACCAAGCTATGGATGTTAGGAAGAAAATGAAGGAAATGGGAGTAAGAAAAGAACCTGGATGTAGTTGGATTGAGCATGGTGATGAGGTTCATAAGTTTGTGGCAGGGGATATTTCACATCCACAAAGTAAAGAGCTTCATGAATATCTCGAAACACTGTCACAAAGAATGAAAAAGGAGGGATATGTACCTGATACTTCTTGTGTACTTCACAATGTAAATGAGGAAGAGAAAGAAACTATGCTGTGTGGACATAGTGAGAGACTAGCAATAGCTTTTGGTCTCTTAAATACTTCTCATGGAACTACCATTAGAGTTGCTAAAAACCTTAGGGTTTGTAATGACTGCCATGCTGCCACTAAATTCATATCGAAGATTGTGGACAGAGAAATCATTCTTAGGGATGTTAGAAGGTTCCATCATTTTAGAAATGGTACTTGCTCTTGTGGGGATTATTGGTAAAAATTGAATTGTAAAAGAAGTTGATTCTTTCTAAATAGTTCACCTAACCCTCTCCTCCTACCTACCTTGTTCTATTTCTCTATCCATCCTCTTCTCCTTCATGGATGATGAGTGTGCCAATGCAATTTTGTTGTCGCACAATTTGGATAACTCAGAACCTGTATAGAATTTCATATTTGTATCTACTGAATCCCTATTAATTTGCCAAATTGATCAATAGTGGCCAGAGTAGGTTGTTGATGTACTTAAATAAGTAGTCTGACTTATGTTTAAATTGATTAATGAACTAATAAATTTATGAGATTAAACTCTATTTTAATGTTCAACATGAACAAAATTTGGTCGTTGGCTCCCATCAATTAGTCTAGTCTATTCCCCTTGTAATTGCAACCGCGACACAAGTACTTTAACTCTCAAGTCTGTGTCAATAAGGCGAGTGAAAGGTGGAATGATGCACACCTTTATGGAGGGATAGATCCCTATTTATAAGTCCATCATAGTGAAGTTTTTGGCAGGAACACCAACGATTGGAATGAGACTGAGGAATTGGCTTGTCGTTGGATTAATTTGGATTGCATCTTGGTCCAGTTTAGAATAGATACTAACATTTTTTTAATAAAAAAACAATCCTTAAAAAGGAACAAGAGAGTAAGGTGTGGGGTGATTATTAAATGTGAGAAAACTGAAGGTTAGTCATAATTAGTGAATGCTCCAGTTATTATTTCTGCAACACCTTTATCAAAATATTAAATTTGAAATGTGGGATGAGAAGAGATAAACATAGAACAATATGAAGTGAATTGAAAGAAAGCGGTATGAAAAAAATCATCAATTATGTATCAACTTGTAACTTGGTAGACAATAAGGGTTATCCTTTCCAATACATTATTAAAGTGAGCAGATTGAACATACAGCCTGGATAAGAGTAAACAAAAGCAGTAATACAGCAGTTACAGTTGAGGCTATTTTCCAAGGAGTGTTGAAGTACTCATGCACAAATATAGCCTTATATTTATTGCTAGGGTTTTCATAGAAACCATTTAACCTATAACATATAGATATATATTTTGAATTCAGTGTAGGCATTGAAACATTTTTGCAAAGATTGTTAACCATTGCAGCCACTGCATTAGCATCACCCATCCAATTCACAATAATTCTCTTATCAACCAAGATGCTCACATCTTTTTCTGTATTAACAAGAAAATCCAAGATACTCAAATACTGAGAAATGTAACATGAATCTTGATCAGAAATGTGACATTCTTCAAATGCTAATATATTCCTCATGTATATCTCTGTTGTATCATGGACATGAAAACGTGGAATTTTCAATACACCCTTGTCATCAAAATTCAAGTCAAGTAAGCATTTACTGTCACTTACTTCAAATACTAATCCTGCTTCTGACAATTGACTCGCACTGTATACATGTTCAATTGCATCCCCCGGTTTTTCTTGTACAAAATCAAATGATGACGGCAGCAAAAATGTTCTTAACAGATCAGTGAAGTGTTTTGGACACTGCACTCTTTCTGAATTTATGTTCTGAAGGTTGAATTGTTGAAAATAGTATATAGTAATTGTAAGAAATGAAGGAAATTCAAGGTTTATACTAGCTAATTTGTATATATCTTCAAGAACAAAAAACGGTAGTTGATTTTCAAGGAGTACTAAGTCGCGTTTAATGTCACTAAGTAACCAAGGTTTTAGTAATATAGGGTCATTTTCCATCCAATTTTTGTATCTAAAATACCTAAGAAAATGTTCAATTATGAAGCATGCATCAACTATAATGATTTTTAAGAAATCATTGCTGTTAAAGCTAAAAAGCCCTGCATAACAGCTTCTGATTCTACTTTCCCACTCTTGAAATTTGGAAACAAAATCATCCAGAGATAGGTTTGTTCTATTTAGAAATCCTTTGAGATATTTGAGTTTGAGTTGTTCCATTTGATGCAAAATGTTGTCACTAGTTGAACCATGTGGACTGTGAAAAGGACCAATGGAAATAATTTGAGGTGTATAAGCTTGTGGATTAGCTTGGCGAATTCTTGGTGGCACTTTGTAGATGTGTTGTTCATGGATTCTAGACATTTCTGGAAGAACCACTCCTTTAAGCATTTCATTCAGTTCATTCTTCAGTTCACTCACACAACCATCTGGTTTTGCCTCCATTTTCCTAAAATTAACCTTTAAATTCTTTCAGATAGTCTTACAGATACTTATGTCATCAAATAAACTCAAAAAATTGAATCTAAATTATCAATAATTCTTATATAGAATTGAAAGAGACAAAGAAATGATAAGAGACAAATAACCTGAATGTTGAAATAGTGAAGTATTAATAATCTTAAGTAGTTTTGGTTAACTTTGAGCAGATCTCCATTCCACACTGTATTGCCTTTTGGATTTGTCTCATTTTGAAGTTTGGTCTTGCCTTACATTTTTATGATAAAATGGGTTAGTTAGATGTAAACATGTGGCTATGAATTAACCAATCAATAAATGGGATAGATATGTCAAAATCTAGGTAATGCCAATTCAGTCTCCAATAGCTAGCACGTCATACACTATTAATTTTTTTATTTCTTTAGAATATATTAGGATTAGGAATATGTCCATGTGTAACAGTTTTCTTACTCTTATTTTTCGTGTATAAAACATTTTCAACCTTTTTTTCTACTCAAAACTATTTCCATTTTTTAAAGAAACAAAATCTCAAATTGTTTTCTCCATTTGTATTTGAAATAATGTCCTTTTCTCGGTTTATGGTTATCAAATAACTTTACTACACTTCTTTTCAAATACAATAAAAATGAATATAACATAATAGAATCATTGCCTAAACTAGTGATACAGGCACACAACAATGTTACGAAATTTTCATGGCCATTGTACAGTTAGTAGAATCAAAATCAGAAGAGTAATTGCTCATGATAGATCTCCAATGCAAGCATAACTTTTTCCAATAACAATTTCCTGTGCAATCTATACCTGTATGTCACATTCACAGTAAGAAAAAAAAAATTATAACTAGAAGGTTAAGATGATGCTAATGAAATTAAACTTTACAAAGTTTATGAAACTGCTAGATTATGTGAATTCGACATACTTTATTGCAGCTTCAAGCGTTCTCGTAGCTTCCGGTGAAGCATCTGTAGTCATTATGCATAAGATAGCTTTTCTTTCTTAAAATGGCGCTGATTGTAATACCAAGATATGTACAATGAATTTACCTAACAATTTCTGGTCTTGCTTAGAGGTGGTAGCAAATTCTGCAAGTATTCGTTTGCACTCTTGTTGTATTGCCTTTGCAGCCTTCCTTTCTTCGCTTGGGATTGGAGGCACGTCTCCAACTGACCATGTTGGCAATGTTCGCGCTGCGGCTATGACTGCTCCATCAACAAAAGTATCTCCGGCATTCGATAGAACTTCTGCAAAGAATTACATATTGATATGCTAAATAATGCTAATTTGAATAGATAAAGGTGTAACGTAGTAGATTACAGAATGGAAAATAATATTGTTCGTACCATTACGATAATACTCTTCAGGAAGGCCTGATATGTTGAAAACTGACAAGAAGGAATCCAAATGGATTTGTGCATTTCCCGAGAATTTGATCACATCCCAAGGATTCTGCAAATTTAAGTGACTTTGAGAGCTATATTTTCAAAATTCAATGGTTCAAATAGAAAGCATGTATAGGTTTATGAGTTATTTATTGAAGAATAATGAAAATACTTCTAAGAAGCACATGCAAATAATAGCTCACAAATTTTCAGCACGAACAACTAGCATGAAAAAAATACAGAACCTTTCTTTGATCAAGATTTAGGAGAAAATTACCACTGGCGAGGAAAATCCGTATCTTTGCATTAACATGGCATTCTTCTGTGAACTCATGTAATCAACTGTCATCTGTTACAACATTTTACAACATAATCAGGATATCCATGACGGGTAAAAATAAGCTTGCAAAGAAAAAACTTAATTTCACTAAAAGTATCCATGCTCTAAAAAGCATGCACAAATTAACCAATTAATACTTTTCAAGCTTATGAACAATAACACTCCTAAGTCATTTTAATAAGAATAAAAATAAAATATGCACTATGCAATGTCTAATACAAGGAAGGAATCAAGAAAAACATACTTCACGGAAGTAAAAAATGGTCTACCTCGTCTCCTTTTCGAATCTGTTGTCCAGCATTTATAAGAACCTCAAGCATCCTGTCCTTAAACCGCCAATGGAAAAAACAATTTGGCTCAAATGAATGGTTCAGCATATCTGAAAAGCAAGACCAACTTAACCAGTTAGCTTAGTCCTATTGGGAAATAAAAAAGAACTGCTACAATACATGAGTACAAAAATGACGGCGGAGTTAGTTAGACCATTTGAGATGAATATAGCTTACCGGCATAAGGAATCAGCATATTTGCATCCTGAGTTAGTGCACACATTCTCATTTGCATGTTGATACATCTTGACTGTGCCATTCCCACTGCCCAAATGAACCTTTTAGGATCACGAGCAAGACGTTTCACTTTTAGGGGCGCACCAATATGCTAAACATGATTAACACAATTTGTTAAGAACAAAAACTAGGTGATGTGCATAATGGATACTAGCAATTTCAACAAGGACAATTTGGTTTTTACCCAGTGCTTCTCCCAGAAATTTAAAACTCGTTGTTGCTCAATTCTAATTGTAGAAGCAAGATCGGGATCCTGCAGCTCCAAAAGTTCCTCCTAGATATACAAATCAATATGAGACAAGGAACATTGAAAGAGTTTGAAGCAGTAGGTACAAGGTTCTATCCTCGAAAACTAATATAACCATAAACTTATGAACATTTGTCTATAAAAAAAATGAGATTTCGTAAAGTGGACGTTGAAGTATCTATTACGTATTTGACGTTCCTTTGTTGCCAAGATTTTATCAGTAATCATAATCTCATAAAAGTGATACATCTAATGTAAGCTACATATCAACCAACGTTTCAATGATAAAATAAAATAAAACTATGCACCTCTGTAGCTAGAAGTAAGCTAGTACTTTCATCTGCACTTGGTAAGAAATCACCGTAATACTGCCAAAAGTTGTCTTTGCAGTCGAATGAAAACAAGAGAAGGCAGGCTAATCTTAAATCCCAATCTGTCTGCCACAAAGATTTACACAATTACATTAAGCAGATAAAAAAACTAACAAAGGTTTTTGTTAAGAGTCTCACATCGGACAATATATGGCCTGAACATGTGTTTATAAGTGGGGGCAATCCTCACCCTACAAGCCGGTTTTGTAGGGTTGAATTAGGCCCAACCACATCTTAATATGGTATTAGAGCCTCGTTTAAGATCCAGTGGACCATCGTGAATGGGCGTTTAAGATCCAGTGGACCATCGTGAATGGGCGTGTTAAGAGTCCGGCCTGAACATGTGTTTATAAGTGGGGGCAATCCTCACCCTATAAGCCGGTTTTGTAGGGTTGAATTATGCTCAATCACATCTTAATATGGTATCAGAGCCTCGTTTAAGATCCAGTGGACCATCCACTATTTATTTCCTCACCCTATAAGCCGGTTTTGTAGGATTGAATTATGCCCAATCACATCTTAATATGGTATCAGAGTCTCGTTTAAGATCCAGTGGACCATCCACCATTTATTTCCACGCTCCAGTTGTCTAGTCCTGGGCGTGAGAGTGTGTGTTAAGAGTCCCACATCGGACAATATATGGCCTGAACATGTATTTATAAGTGGGGGCAATCCTCACCCTACAAGTCGGTTTTGTAGGGTTGAATTAGGCCCAACCACATCTTAATATGGTATTAGAGCCTCGTTTAAGATCCAGTGGACCATCGTGAATGGGCGTGTTAAGATGAACATGTGTTTATAAGTGGGGGCGGGTTGAATTATGCTCAATCACATCTTAATATGGTATCAGAGCCTCGTTTGGATGAATGGGCGTGTTAAGATGAACATGTGTTTATAAGTGGGGGCGGGTTGAATTATGCTCAATCACATCTTAATATGGTATCAGAGCCTCGTTTAAGATCCAGTGGACCATCCACTATTTATTTCCTCACCCAATCACATCTTAATATGGTATCAGAGCCTCGTTTAAGATCCAGTGGACCATCCACCATTTATTTCCACGCTCCAGTTGTCTAGTCCTGGGCGTGAGAGTGTGTGTTAAGAGTCCCACATCGGACAATATAGTCCCACATCGGACAATATATGGCTTGAACATGTGTTTATAAGTGGGGGCAATCCTCACCCTACAAGCCGGTTTTGTAGGGTTGAATTAGGCCCAACCACATCTTAATAGTTTTGATTTTTTTAGTATATACAACAGATAAATAAAGGGCGACGAGCTTGATTATACATATATTTATCACGAAAGCAATCAGGAAATGTGTATCATATTTGGAACTAATGACTTAAGAGGAGAACGGCAATTACCTCTGGATGTGTCGAGTTGATAATATCAAATATTGGATGACCAAGAGGAATTATATCAGGGAAAAACATCCATGGGAGCTTCTTGCTTATTGTTAGCATCAATTCAAGAGGAATTTCCATTATAACCTGCCCAAGTACAAAATTACGCAAAACAGCCATGGACTAGTACTAACAATATAATCATGAAAAACATTATATGTTTAATTATGTCGCATGTGCCACTGCCACCGATCATGCATCGGCTTTATAACTGTTAAAATGTAAGTGGAGTACCATACCATCACTTAAATGAGGCTACTCACCCTTGATCGGCGAAGAGGTTCAACATCTTTAGAAGCATACACACCAAAACCATTTGGCCCTTGCTTAAAATCAACTCCATAAGCTCGCATGCTTCGGACAAATCCTATCTTGTAGAAATCAGGATCCACAGGCTCCAACTAGAGGAACAAATAAATTAGCACAAGAAACAAAAGGAAAGAAAAAAAATTACAACCAAATATCTCATTCTCATCAAAAAGAAGACCCTCTAAAGAATTCATCCAAAGGCACACACACTACTCAATCAATCATTTGCATATACAAGCTAATTTATTAAGGGTTTAGTCTCTTTTTTAATTTAACTCATTGAACTCCTTTAACCTTAATTGTGGCACCAACACCTCTGAAAAAATGTGAGCCCGTATCAGTGGCACCAACTCAACACCGACACCTATCATTACATTCAATTTATTAAATTTTTCAAATTATTACGAGTGTCTCAGTGTCTGACGTGTGAGGGTTTCCGGTGGTGTCCGTGCTTCATAGACCTTTAACTTAACTAGAGCTAAGGGTTTAAGGGTTTAAGTGAAACATTGGGGTTTAAAACTTCAATACTAAATTAACCTCTAAATAGTAACACATTTCTAGTAAAAAAACTCTAGTCCTAATTGTTACCTCAGAAGATGAATCTTCAGCTGTGAGAGGCTGAAGCAAGGGAAACGGGGCAGCATGAACCGAAGGTTTAACAGGTCGCAGTTTGTTTTGAGCACAAGAGCCAAACATAGGTCGCCACAAATAGCTATGGTGCAAACCTTGGAACTGTTTAGGAATCAAACAAGCATTAGTAACAAAAAAGTTGAGATTAAAAATAGAAGGAAAGAGAAATGAAGTGAACCTGGGTTTTTGAGAAGAAACAAGGCGTTAATTGATAAAGAGGAAAAGAAGAAGCCATTGAAGCATATGTGGTTGTCTGGTTAAACTAGAGACAGAAACAGAGTGGAGAGTGGAGAGTGGAGAGTGGAGAGTGGAGAATGGTATAGACAACAACGTTATCCATTTTATGTTCCTATGAGCAAACTCTCGTGTCCTGGGGGTGGAAATAGCAATTAAACACACATTTAGAGTATGTTTGGATCACAAAATAAAATGAAAGGAAAGAAAATATAAGAGGAGAAAGAGGATATAAACTGAAATGATTATTTGGTTGTTTGATAGATTGGTACGAGAGAAAATGAAAGGAAAAAAGTTTAAAAAAGATATGTATTATTTTTTAATTTTTATTTAATTATTTATTAATTATATTTTAGAAATCTATTTTACATTTTATTTTAATAAAACTGATATTTCTAAAATTCTTTTTATAAAAAGTTTATGTTATACTTCCACCATCTTATATAAATGTCTAATTTGAGTTTTATACCATTCTTAAGAAAATAATTAGATGTGATAATTTTAATTATAAAATTAATATTATTTATTAAAATATATTTATTTATTATAAATAAAAAATAATTGAAAAGCGTGAAAGTTAATAAAATAAGAATATAATAATAAAGAAAAATAATAAATATTATATTAATATTTTAAAAATATATTTATTTTACGATATAGAAATAAATCGAATAAAATACTTATTATAAGACAGAAAGAGTAATAGACAGATACTATACTCAATTTAAAATTTTCCTTTTTCGTGTCAATCTAAATTATTTGTTTATTTGTAAATGTATCTTAATACAAGTTTAATGATGCATTTCTGTCCAAAAAAAATCTACTAGTGCATTACATTTATCTGCGTTGCATTTAACATTTTTAAAGGTTGTTTTTTTTGTCATCTTAATTAAAAATAGTCTCAACTTTTTCTTTCCCTTCTACATAGCATGGAAAGTATTTTTTGGTGGGTTCCATTTAAATCTTTTCTTCCTCCTCTTTTTGTAGTGTTGCCAAACCGTGGAACAGTATCTCTCCATTCACTTTATTTCCTTCCTCATATCTTTCTTCAAAACCAAACATTCCTAAGCTTGATCAATATAAAATATTAATTTTTCCATTTTTAAAATTAACTTTTGGATATTAAATAATGGGGTTACTCTTCCGTCTATGGTGAAAAACTATCCTAATAAATTTCAAAATTTCTTTTTTAATATCAATTTTGGTGAATGAAAGTCCTACGGAGGAGTTTAAGATGGAGCATGGCTTTCACCACCAAAAATTCAAAATTCTGGACCACTCTACAGAAGGAAAAAAAGAAAACGTGAGAAATATGAGAGATGGCTCAATAAGTGGCCATGGAAACGAAGATTATTGTCAGTTTGGTCGAGGAATCAATCTCGAGAGAACTACCATGAGTGATTACACTTATGAACCGTCGAGTTATCGATATTAAATGAAGCGTTGCGTGGGAGGAAACCCGCAATTTCCTTTATATTATTTTGCATATTTCCCCCTTTTATAGAAAATGGTGAATTTTAAATTGCTAACTTGTGTGTTTTCTTTTCAGGGCCGCTGCATTCTCCTTAGCCAAATTTATCTACTAACATTATTTTAGGATGCAGATAGTTGATGAGATGAAGATCATTTTCAAAAATGATGTCTAGAGAGAGCGTTTTGATATCCTAACTGAGAGAACCATCTCATCTACCCGTTACCCAAATTTTCCTTGCATAGTCCACCTAGGACTTGTTGACAATGTCCATTTCATGTTTAGTCGTATGAGTTGGTACAGGTTTTCAGTTGCAAAACACCCAACCTACAGAAACCTAACACTGAAGTTCCTTAGTTCATTTCATTTCTAGCCTCACACTAGACTAGGACAAGACAAAGGCTTAGTCACTTTTAGACTCTTTGGCCAGAATTATCGTCTTACCAGTAGGGAGTTAGCCAGATCCCTTGCATTTCAGCATAGTCCCAACGCTTATACCGAAGTACATGCTGATATGCAAGGTAAACTAGGCCTTTTTCTGGGGTGGAATCACTGAGGATTTCCCACCAGATCACGAAAGCATGAATTGGACTCTTATCCATAATCCTGCCATTAGGTATTTCCACATGGTCGTAGTCCAAACTTTCTTTGGAAAAGCTAAAAATCAAACAGGTGTAAGCCAGTGTCATACCTCAAAATTACGGTTTTTAACCCTTTGTACATTGATGCGCCCAGGTTTGTTGCTTCAACCCTAAGATTAACAGCAAAAGCCCAAAAATCTTTTTTGCAGTAAATCAAACCGAATCTTGGATTGAAATTTTTTTATTTATATTGATACGAATTTATACACTGAATCAGTCCAAGTACATGAATAAAAAACCCTAATTTCTAAAATACAAACAAATATAATTCTAATTTACAAATCAGATCAAATTACAATCAATTGATTCAATCAGTCCCTAATTCTAATTCGTAACAACAAATTAACCTAAATATATTTCCTAATTGATCTAATTTAAAAAACTATTTAAACTCTAAGCATAAACAAGGAAGGGGGCCGAGAATTGGAGATTGGAGAGAAGAAGAATAAGTCGTGAAGCCCTTATCTCCTTGTTGTGAAATCCTTCAACCTTTGTACATGCGAAGAACAAACAGAGGAGAAGATTAGAGAAAGATCGGAGGAAATTATAAGGAAAATTACGAGAATAATCACTGCATGGACGATAAGACTAAACCTAGCTAAGGGTTATTGATTGTTGTTGTTGCGATTGATGTTGGTATGTCTATTAACTGTGGTTTAATTTGGTATTTCTGGAAGAAGAAAAATTGGGGATTAAGGTTAGGGTTCATAGCTGCATGTTAGAGTTCTTCAGGTTTTCTGGATAAAAGATGGTGTTCTGGGCAAACACCCATCTTAGACGGTGGATCTGGGTTAAGGTTTAGGGTTAGGATTCTTATGATTGTTAGGGTTCCTAGGGTTTTAAGGGATTTTGGGTTTTTGTTTGAAGGTTTGAAGGTTTCGGTTGAGCTTCAATCGGAAATCTGGGTTTCAAGGTGGCTAGGGGATGGAGAATGAGCAACCACTGACGGAGGCGATTTCCAGTCGGTGGTGCTAGGGAATTGGTTTGAGAAAGTGTTGGAGGGAGATCAGAGAAGTGAGACAAAACAAAATAGAAAAATGAAGCATTATGAAAGAAATTCACTTAAATACTCCATTTGTCCACTCTCTAATGCACACCATATGGCCACCTGTTGGCCTCAGGATGTGAAGACTGTTGGCCAGTCTCCGTGTGCTCAATCCTATGATATTCCCCATTCAAACCTCCATCATGACCATTCGTTTGTCATATTTTTAATCAGCGTCCCAGAATCAACTTTTGGTGACCTTCTAATCAAAATCAAGCGCTTCCTGTTTCGCTAGCACGCCATAACGCGTAAGGTTCCCCACACCTTGATCAAACAAACTCAAAGATTATCCTGGGCCAAGCCCATTATTTTTTGCACCCCAGATTATTTGGCTTGAACTAAGAATACACCCCCCACGTTTTTGGATTGGACAGTTACTTAGGCCTGGGTTTACCAATTGCACACCCCTGTTTACTTAACCTAAATAAAATGCACCTCCTGTTTATATATTTAACTTTATTTATTTTTTAGTTTATTTATTTACTTTTATTATTTTTTAAATTACTTTATAATATATTATATTTATAAAAATAACAAAAAAATATCTTTTTTAATTAAATATATATATTTAACTTATTTTCTAACTTTATTATGTATTTTTTGGGTAGAAAATAACAAACTCTTGTTATAATTATAATATTAGTAATTATTTTTTAAATTACTAACCATTTTTTTATTAATTCATTTAAACAATTTTTATTAACTTCAAACTTTTTTTTATCAATCATGCATCTAATCAAATATTAAAATAGTTAACCCCTCAAACTTTTTTTTACTAACTTAATAAAACTTCAAAAATATTTTCAAAAAAAGGATTGAATAGAATTGCTATCAAATTTAACTGCGAATTGCGTCTACGATCACTTATTTTTCAAACGCATACAAGGCTCGAGGATAATTCCCAAGCAATTCTATGTGATCCTATAAAAAACTAACCAAACACATAACGAAATACGAAATGAATTCTGATTTATTTGCAAGGAGATACGTAGGCACACAGTTGAAAAACCAAGGCAAGTCCCATAACTAAAAAACTAAACCTTTTCTTCTTCACCTATATATGGAAATAACACGTTTAAATAGAAAATTCATGATATGTCATAAACCTAAGTAGGGAGCCCCATGAGAACAAGAGAGATGAATGTAAGAACAAGAAGTGTTTCTACATCTGGCCTTAAGATTTTGATGATAACTTTACATGTTATCTTAGAGAACAATTGTATACACTAATGGTTTCATTCTAGTGTGTAGCTGTTGCTATAATGTTCAGACTCTGGTATCAAGGCGTGTAGCGTCATCGGGTTCTGAACATACACTACTGGAAGAAAACATGTGGTTAGATGTTACATTTGAAGTCAAGATTCTGAATTCATCTTTTGCAACATGTCTAAGGAACGTTAGTACAAGAGGTTATGATCATGACTTTGTGGTTAAGCTTTGGAGGCCTTCTAAAGCTTTTCTTTTGTATGTTACAAGTTCTGAATATTATGAAGACGAGGTTTTGCTAAACAAGTTCTGATGATCTGAAGAAAAGCAAGTTTTTACGACCAAGTGCTGAAGACTATGAAGACAAGGTTCTGATAGGACAAGTTCTGAAGACTCCAAGACTTAGGTTCTAAGACTTAAGAGTGAATCTTCTACAACAAGCTTCAACATTCAACATTCAAATATCTGAAGCCTCTGGTGATAAGAAGAAGTTCAAAATGGTTAATGTGTGATGGTTTACAAAAGGTACATAAAGTAGTATGTGACCTCTACCCTTTAGGGTGACGTAAGGACATTTCTTTTTGTATTGTACTGTAACCACTCTCATTATGATCGTTTAGAACAAACAACTATATTTC